AAAAGAGGACAGGAGAGAGCCCTAGGGTCTTGATTCCTCTGGCTCCTTCTCTGCCTGCCAACAGTTTTAGTAATAAGTATATTCCTTTTCCTAGTCTATTTTGTGCTACTCTGTCTTAATACTGGAACAGATAATTCACAATCAACAAAAATTAATCACTCATTGTTCTGGGAGGTGGGAAGTCTAAGATCCAGGAGCTGGCATCCCACAGCAGAATACAGAAGGACAAGACAGCAAGCACTGAGGAACAAGGGAGGAGAAAGGCAGCCAAGTTTGCTTTTATAACAAACCTACTCCCACAATAACAACACTAATCATGACCTGATCACCTCAAGACAGAGACAGACAGACAGCAAGGAAGAGGGAAGGGAGCAGAACTTACTTTTCAATAACAAAACTACTCCCATAATAATGACATTGTCTTAAAAACACTTTCTCATTGCTGGGACAGAATACCCAGCACTCACATCCTAAAAGAAGGATAGGATTATTTTGGCTCATGGTTTTTAGACAATTCAGTCCACAGTCAACTGGCTCCAATGCGAGGAGGTCATGGTAGAAAGTTCTGGTGGACACAAGCTGCTCACATCACAGCAGCCAGAGAGCAGAGAGAGAAGGGAGGAGTCAGGGAGGAGGATGGATCCTTCCAGGTTGTATTCCCAGTACCTACCCCCAAACAGACCCTGCCTGTACTTTTGAGCATACAAATCTTTCACCTCAGGAAATTTATTCCTAAGTATTTTATTTTTTTGATGTTGTCATAGATGAAGTTAGTTTCTTTATTTTCTTTTCAGATTGTTCATTATTAGTGTAGAGAAGCTCAATTTATTTTGTGTATCAATTTTGTATCTTGCAAATTTGCTGATTTCATTGATTAGTTCTGACACTTATTTTCTGGGATATTTAGGGTTTTCTACATATAAAATTATATCTTCATTTTCCAATTTGCTTGCATTTTGTTTCTTTTTTTAGTTGCTCTTCTTTTACCCTAATTGCCCTGGATAAAACTTCTAGGAGTATGTTAATAGCAGTGGTGAAAGTGGCTATTCTTTTTTTGTTACTGACCTTAGGGGAAAGCTTTTACTCTTTTCCCATTGATAATAATGTTCTCTGTGGGTTCATGTATGGCTTTTGTTATATTGAGGGGAGAACATGCTTCTTTCTGAATGCTCTGCATGGATGACCTCATTAATTGTACAGAACCCTGTGAAATACACATTAAAATCCCTCTTTTTTCAGATGAGAAAACTAAGACACAAAGAAGTACGTTCTTCCCATACATTAAATTTCTGTATATAGTTTTTTGTTTCTACATATAGCATGTTGGTTTTTACTAAAACAATGATTTATTAAGTTATGTGCTCACTTCCTTGTACCACACAGAGGGTTGCCTGTACCTCCCAAACAACCTGAGTGAAAATCTTTGTCTTGGGGTCAGAACCCAGGGGAACCAAACTAGGACATCACATTCTATTTCTATAAAGTACAAAAATAAATGGAATTAACCTGTGATACTAGAAGTCTGGTGATAGTTACTGTTGAGTGAGAGGAATGCCATGTGTGGGTAGGATCAGAAAGGGTCCCCTGAGGTGTTGACATCCTTGACCTGAGTCCTGGTTATGTGGTTGCATCCCTCTGTGAAAATTCATTAAATTGTACAGTTACAATGGCTGTGCTTTTCTGTAAGTATGTGTAACTCAATGAGATGTCTCTTAAAAAGAATTGTTACTTTGGGCAGGGTGTTAGGAAGTTGTTAGGTTCTTTTGGTTTGTTTTCTACAAGGAAGGAAGGGTAAAAGGTTTTACTCTGTGGCTTTTACAATAAAAACACAGAAGGAAAAATAACAAATTATTTTTATAATTATTTTTCTGACCTACATATGGACAGAAAATGTGATGAGACAAAGACTAGAAAGGTAAGTTGAGGCCAGGTGGCAAACAAAAAGAAAGAAAAGAGATACAGTTGGTGTGGAGAGAAAGATGAGCAAGAAAAAGATCAAAAGAAGCAAAAAATGCCAAAAGAAAATTAAGACAGAAACATATTTTTCTCTCCATACTGTAAGAATGGGCTATAACAATCCCTCACTAAAGGTTAGAAGCTTAAGCATTCATGAAATGACCTCTTTTTTTTCTAACTTCAATGAATAAAAATTTCTAAAAGCTGTCTCATGCCCAATAAGGAAAATTTCTCTGAAGGAAACTTCAGGTCAATTCCAGTTTTCACAAGGAGGTATATCTCTTTTCACAGCATTCCATCTTGGGGCCTTTCATTGTGCCACTGTCTGAGGGCTAGACCCAAGTATCAGATGGGAGGGTCCCCATTCCTGTCTTACAGACTGCAAGGAGGGAAATTCTAGATTGACCTATTAGAAATTAAATTCAGAATTTTTACTGTATCAACACTCAAACATTTACTGCAATAAATTACCAAACAAGTTCAAATGGTATTTGCATGTAAGCACCCACCCACCCAACCCAAACATACATACATATCTGTGTACTTTGAGCCCATGTCTGACATTCTCATCTTTCCTAAGATCATAGCCTTGCTGAGATTTTTTTATGTAACGTAGATATTTAAGATTTGTATGTATGTGTCCATATAAACAGAAACCAGAATTGAGTTCAAAAATCACATGATCATTTCAATAGGCGAATAAAAAGTCTTGGAGAAAAGCCAACACCTTTTTATGATAAAAACCTTCATGGAAATAGGTACAGAAGGACTTAACCTCAAATTGATAAAAGCCATATATGACAAATCCAAAGCCAACATATTACATGAGAGCATTCCCTCTAAAATCAGAAATGAGACAATAGTATCCATTTTCACCACTCCTGTTCAATATACCACTTGAAATTTTATCCAAACAAATCAGGCAAGAGAAAGAAATAAAAAGGATATGAAAAGAAAAGGAAAAAGTTGTTATTTGCAGATTATGTATGATCCTTTGCAGAAAAGCCCAAAACATTTCACCAGAAGAATCTTAGAACTGATAAATTCAATAAAGTGGCAGAATACAAAATCAACACATGAAAATCAATTACATTCTTATACACCAATATGAATCCAATGAGAAAATCAGGAAAATAATTCCATTTATGATAGTTTCAAAAAATTAAATAGCTAGAAATTAACCCAAACCAAGGAAGTTAAATACCTCTATAACAAAAACTGTAGAACTTGGATTAAAAATGAAATTACTGTCTATAGAGTTTGCCTTTAAATTATGAAGAAGAGTCCCTGAGAAGATAGAAAACAACAATGAACCACACCTTCCCCACCTCCTAGAAAAGATATGAATAGGATGCCATGGGAGAAATCAAGACCCAGGTAACACAAGCCAGTGCTCACATGGGAATGTCACTGAGTCCCAAGACTCAGTTGGAGAATTCTAAATTGGAAGATTAGAGTGAAGAAGGGTCAGATGGCTTAGGAAGAACATTGTCATGAAAAGAAAATAACTAAGCACATGACAGATCTTATACATAACCAAAGGATTAATTAGAACAAGTACATTTAATACCTTCACAACACAAAGCAAAATAAAAGCAAAGAATTATGAAAAAAAATTAGAGATCTCAAAAATGAAAGCACAAATTGTTGAAAAACTAAACTGAAAAGATAGGCTGAAAACAGCATGCGCCCTTTGAAGTATAAATTAGCAAGATGAGACATTAGATTGAGGGAGTCTTGCAGAAAAGATATCAATATCAATGAAGACATCTGGGTTTTCACTTGCTAGAAATTACAGAGGGAAAGAACAAAGGGAATGGGAGATGGCAATATTTAAACAATATCTAAAATTTCCCCAGAAACGAAGAAAGCTACAAAACATCAAAATAAGGAGAAAAATGTTAGATGCTATGAAAGTAAAAAAATTAAATGCAAAGGAAGAATGATCAAATTTTCACTGTAAATTTCATTAGAAATACTAGATATTGCCAGGCCTGGTGGTATACACCTATAATCCCAGCACCCAGGAGGCTAAGGTGGGAAGATCACTATGAATTCAAGGCCAGCCTGGGGTACATAGTGAGTTCAAGGCCAGCCTGAACTACATAGCAAAACCCTGTCTCAAAAACAAACAAACAAACAAACATTACTAGATACAAAATGGCAATGCAGTGATGTCCTCAACGAGCTATTTGCAAACAAATGTCATTTTAGAACTCTGTACCCAGATATAGTATCATTTAAGAGCATGAGTAAGACAGAAGCATTTTTTAACATTAAAAATTTAAGAAAGTATACCATCAATATATTCATTCAAAAATGTTTCAGACATATTCATGCAAGAAAAAACAATAAATATAGAAGTGTAGAAAAAAATACTTATCTAAGTCACCAGCCAATCCTAATAAGACTAAATAAACACTGATTTCCAAAAATGCTTAAAATAACAATTTAGAACTAGAATTGTGGATATTATCAACAGAGGGGTTCAGAGGAAGGAAATAGCAGAGAGAAGTGAACATTTATTATCCTGTTTGGGAAAAGTCTACATTTAGATTTCATCAGGTAAACTTAACGTCATGTATAGATCTACAGAATTGAGAATAGTAGAAAAACTGCAGTGGAAAATGTATATATTTCAAACTATAGAAAAAAAGGCAGAGCAAGAAAAATGTAATCAACCCAACCAAAAGTAGGACTAGGTACAAAAAAAAGAAACAAAAAGAGAGCATACTACAGATATTCCTCATTTAACAACCTACCTGTTTAACAATGGTTAGGACCTAAGACTGAGATGCACTGTTTGGACTTACCACCCACCACTTGCATTTAAGACCCATCTTTTTTGGTACAGTACACCTTGTTTATACAGTACTGTAATTTTTGCTGCTTATGATTTATGTTCCATTATACATTACAGTACTGTATGTAAGAGTTACAAAAATAAAAGCAAAGTCATCAAGTTGGAGTTTCCTTTGACCATTTCTTTTGTTCTGAATATTGTAATGTATATACTATATACAATTCATCATTTAGCAACTCAGTTGCAGGATCATACTTTAGTGGCTGTTTAATGAGGAATGTGTGTAAATAGGAAACAAAGTAATATCATTTAATTAAATACAACCAAATGAGTGTTTGGACTAATAGTGAGGAAAAAAATCACCTAAATAGAAAATGAGCAATTAACATGAAAACAACAAAGAAAATTAACATTTTTGATAAAAACTTGTAAAATGTTAATTTTCACCAGTTGTCAAGGAAATATAAATAGTTCTACATTGATATGTCATTTTCAATGATCAGATTAAAAGTATTAGCCACAAGTTGGACAACAGATATCTTCATGTCGCACAAGTGGGAGTGTACATTGGTGCAATCAATTTGAGCACAATTTAGCTTATCTATAAAAGCCAAAAACATCTGCACACATGTACAAGGAAGTATAGCCAAGAATATCCAACTAGGTGTGGTGGTCCATGCCTGTAGTCCCAGCGTTTGGGAGGCTGAGGAGAGAGGATCATTTGAGCATAGTTTTAGTCCAGCCTGGGCCAACACAGCAAGTCTCCAACTCAAATAAAAATCCTAGCAGCATTTTTTATGAAATACTGGTAATGATCTAAATGTTCATCAGTGAGAGAATAACTAAGTAAACAATATATTCACAGTACAGCATATTCTGCAGGAGCTAATGAGCACTTTCATAATAATGAGTAACTTAGGTTTACTTTTACAATTCAGATAGACCTATTGTGAATATTTTTAAATTTGTAGAATAGAGGGTATAGAATTTCATATATGTAAACCACTAGAAACAATACTGTGTACACATAATTTACAGATGTGCATACTTACATAAGCACCTGGAAAGAGCTGTGAAAGGTTAAACAAACTCAGTTTAGATTGCTTCTGAGGAGGTGGCAAGAGACAAGGAGGGATGAGTGGCACGTGTTGGCCTAGGAAACAGTTTGGAGGGCAAGAAACAAGGGATTTAGTCATATAGGTGAAGTCTCATTTTATTTTCTAGGCAATTATTTCTGTCTTATTGACTGAATGAGTCTGTTTGAGGACCAGGTTCTCTCTCCTCTACATATGCTGGCCTTTGCACAGATTGTCCATTTGCTAGTCTAATCTAGACCTAGCCAAATATTCAAAGAACAGGCTGCATAGACATATTACTCTCCAACCCTCGCAGGACAGGATCAGTGACTTTCCCTCCCTCCTCGCCCTTCCCTCCATCCAGTAGTACTCGCCAGACACCAGAACCTTAAGGAATGAAAAAGGTCTGCCACCCTGAGCTGTGAGTTAACGGTAGTCGTACCCACTCTTGACTAAGCAGGTTCCTAGCACCCTGCGAAGCATGCTGTGTGGTCTGCTGGGAAGTCTTCCTCCTATGTGATGGGAAAAATACTCGGGAGTTATGTTTCAGGGAAATAATGAACTCTCTAGACTCTAATCTGTTGAGGTTTTTGTGTGTCTTCCTTTGAGCTATCAAATATAACACCAAGAAAAGAGGAATGACTCCCCTCTGCTCCAGTTTGACAATTAAAAGTTGGAAACACATCCAGAAAAACTCATGTCAATTCCTCCTAATCACAGATTTATGCATTTTTCTACTTAAAGGTTCTTCATTTTAAATCAAAGGCTTATACATCTTCCTATTTGGCAAACTGGAAACATTTAGACACATTCTAAAATGATATAAAAGCAAAATCCTCATGGCACTAACAACCCTTTCCAATGATCTCAGTTCTACACTACAAATTCCAGTGTATTTCCTTTCTCTGATCCCCACATCCCTTAGAGTTTTCTGCATTCTCTGAAACTGCAGCAATAAGTTACAGACTGTAGGACCTATTTGGTACTCACTGCTGAACTCTTGCAGCCCTGTCTATTGTGTTGTGCTACTGATTCTCTATATTTCTTTCTTTCTCTTGAAGTTCCTAATGCAGTGGTTGGTTGGTTACTTAATCTGTTTGCATATGGAAGCAGCTGGTGTGTAATCCTCACAAATCCTTGATTCCCTTAGCTAGTACTGATGTAGTGCCCAGGCTAGCCTCTGGGAAGACCCCATATTTTCTCTGTTATCCATTTTCCCTGAACGTTGCAAGGAAACTGTGAGTCTGGGGCACAGCTGGTTCCTTCTAGGTGTGGCCTCCCAGAATTCAGGAATCCAAGGGAAGGCAGGTTCTGCTTCTAATCCCAAGCACTTTTTTGCCCATTACCACCCAGGGGGAAGGCCCAAAATAGACAGACA